AGTAAACTAAATTTCTTTATATTATAGATGAGGCACGTTTAATGTGTTTAATTTTGTTTAATTTTGTAATGGCACAGTTGAAATTATAATTTTATTGTAACATTATATCATAGATAAGTGTGGCACGCTAAATATTTTTCTATCGTTAAATTTGAAACATCCAGAGTTCTTTTTTATGTTACTTTCGACATTACCTGGCAGTTAGAAGTGAGTTACTGGTTTTAATGGTATATGATTATAACGGCGAAAAAAAATAAATTGTAATTGAATATACGACGTGTTGTAATTTTATCGAATTAAGTTAATATTTTTATATGGTAGAAACATGGATTTGAATGTAACTACTATCCATCCTTGTGACTTGAAAAATTGGCAAATTTTTAGTTCCTTAGAAACAAAATTCATTTCGAATGTTCGTATAGCTGTTGTGTATGGTAATATTTTTTGATGGTCACTTTTCTATATCAATGTAGATTTTACATATTATTATATATTGTTAAATTTTTGCTTAAACAGGTAATTTTGCTAATGAAGCTTTAATCGTAACGAAGGATAATATGGTGTACAGTATAGGAAATACCTTTGAATTTGGTATAGGTTCCATTCCTAGCAGTCTTTGTCCAAAGAAAATGGAAATATTGTGTGGTGAAGATATAAAAACTATTGCATATGGCAAAGGTCCACATGTTTTGGTTCTTACGCAGCAAGGAAAGGTGTTTAAAATGTATATTGTTGTATCGTATCATTAATATGCAGCATAATATTACATAATTCAATAATATAATTTATAAAGATATATTCGTGGGGATATAATCATAATGGTGAATTAGGAAACGGATCTACTGTTCAATCTCAGACTCCATTACCTATATCAGAAGTATTGAATGATGAATATTTTGTTGATATAGCCTGTGGAGGTCATCATTCCCTTGCATTAACAAATAAAGGACAGGTAACACGAGAATACTTAATTATAAATGTTTTATTTTTCTTAATAGCATATAAAAGTGATACATTTATTTGAGGTATATGCATGGGGAAATATGTTATCCAAACAAGCCAACCAACCAAGTGATCAATATAAAACCAAACCAATGTTGATGATGAGTCTATTACACTTCAATAAAATTGTTCGTATAAGTTGCGGAGACTCGTTCAGCATGGCGCTCACTGACAATGGACAAGTTTATAGTTGGGGTGATAATACTGTTGGTCAATTGGGAACTGAAAATAGTAGTAATAATATAATCTTTAATAATGGACCATGCAAAGTAACTGCACTTACAAAAATAATAATAGGTAATAAACTTTTTTATAAACACATAAATATTAAAAATTTATTAATTCTATTTATTTTGATATACAGAAAAAATAGTTTGTGGCTATATGCATACATTAGCATTGAGTGACAAAGGTGATCTCTATGTTTGGGGAGATAACAGTTACGGCCAATTAGGCTTTTACACAGACTCATATGTTCGGACACCAACAAAGGTAAAAATCTATTTCATATGTGTACTGTTAAATTGAAATTAATGAATATTTTTGCAGTTGAAACTACCGGAAATACCAGGAAGGGTATTAGATATAGCAACTTCACATTATCATCACATAAGTGTTGCTATGAGTGAAGGCAATCGGATATTTATGTGGGGTCAGTGTTTAGGTCAGAAAATTAAAGTTCCAATGCTTACTCCACTAAAATGTTTGTATTATGCTTTTGCATATTATGCATCTCCAAATATCATGCATCAGCCACTTATTTTTCACAGTAATAAAGAAACAAATTTAACTGATAGTTTAAGAGATGCCTTTGATGATCCAGTAAGTATTTTTTATGAGCAATAACATGTCATTCATTTTATCATTTCATTTTTTTTTTTTTTTTTTTTGACATCATCTCTTGTTGTATGTTAAAGATCACTAGCGATCTTACAATTCAAGTACATGGAAAACCTATTCATGTTCACAAAGTAATTTTAAAAATACGGTCTAATTACTTCAAAATGATGTTTCAAGATCATTGGACAGAAAATAGTCAAAGGTAAATCAATTTTCTATATATATGTTTAGATTTTTAATTATCTATACATTTTAGTACTATAGAGCATGAACAATTTTCCTATGATGCATACAAAGCTTTCTTGAAGTATTTGTATACCAATGAAATTGATCTATCAACAGAAACTACATTAGGTAAACATTTTTTACTTTTTATATATAGCATTGAACAATACGTTTTATAATTATATTTTTTCTTACACAGAACTTTTAGAGCTAGCTAATGCCTATTCTGAAACTCAGTTAATAAAACATTGTGTACGAATAATATGTAAAAGGATTACAGTTCAGAATGTAGCTTTTTTATACAACACATCTATCCAATATAATGCTAAGGTAAATAATATTTCTTATTATTTCTGTATTATTTCTTTCTTTTTTTCACACAAAGTACTAAAAATATATGATACATTATGCATTTCTAGGAATTAGAAGACTGTTGTTTTAAATTTGCTTTGAATCATATGACTAAAATAGTACAGACAGAAGCTTTTGCAGAATTAGATAAAAATACAATGAAAACTTTTATAGTTAAAGCTGCACAAGCAGGTGCTTTTAAAACATAAACACAAAATATCACACAAAGAAACCCGCATGAAATATTTTCATACAAATTATTCACGTTATTACTACCTCTAAACATCTATATTTCTTAAGAAAGTTATAAAATATTTTTGATAAGCATAAAGAATTTATTAAAAGATTATAATGAAATTGCAAGTGTTAGTAAATAACAAACGTTGTGGGCTCTAGCATTATCAGTATTATATTTATATGTGATTTAGAAATGCAAGTATGTTATAATTTATATACATTTAAGATATTTTCTATGATGTCGCATAAAAATCCAATTTCTAGATTTCTTATTGTGCCAAAAACTTGTGTAACATTCTTAATAATAAAACTTGTTGATTATTTTTAATTTTATCTATGAAATTTTATTTATTTTCTAATATTACGCATAGTATATTATATATACTATTTTATATATCAAGTATATATCAACATGGCGTTAAATAGGACTATGTCTGAAAATGTCAAAACTCTGATCCAAAAAAAAAAGAATCGGGACATCTTTCACATTCTGACTCATATAGTTTTGAGGTTATTTCGCATTTGTAATAGATATTAATTAAGAAATGGTACCCACCCTAGATGAGATACGTTGCGCACTTAACCTTGTGTCGCCATCGATCCGTAGATAAGCGGCACTTGCGGCTGGTGACTTTCATACTTGGGGATTGGTATAACGACCATGTGTTAGCCGTTGCATTACAACCGTTGTATGGAGATTTATTTCATTGACTATAACTATACAATATATCTTATTTATGATATAACCATGTTTCTTCTACTGATTGCATTATTGGTGAATGTAACTATTTAAGCTATGACTAGCTAGATTTAAGAATGAAAGATCTAATCTAATTTTTTATGACAAGCAGTACGTTTATAGATTTTACGAGACTAAATATTATTAATTTCTTTTTTTACAATTTTAGTAGATAGAATTATAAATACAAGTTTTATCTTAAATATAAATGGTTTAGAAATTATGTCTGTATCATTGACTAGTGATATTGCCATAGACGATTACACATCTTATTTATTTTATAGATCGTGTTTAGGTTCAAAGCTGCAATCTAATCAGTTACCGCGGTGCGCCGTAAGGCGGCCGCAAATTTCTACTGGTTTGATCATCGAACAATTATACATATATTGAAAATATTTTGGGTCTCAATTTTTAAGTTATTAAAAATCCTTCTCGATATAAATATTATTTGTCTAAACAGATCTGGGCAAACTAATTAAATTATGTACAAAAGTCAATATGGCATCACGCTAATCTGACAAATATGTTACAATCTTTAACTTACAGCTGTATAACTTTGCACCAGTGGAGTTAAAACTTGCATTCTTGATTCTTGAAATCTACCAGATATTTTCTTTTCAATTTTCAATCTTAAAACACAAATTTATTCGAACACTATCTACATTTATCATCTTACAAAAGTATTTTTCTAAGCATAATGTAAAGCCTCGATTTTTTTTTAACATATCAATAATGTTTATAAATTTGTCTAAGAATGATACAAGTTATAAACGGTGAGTTAATAAAAGGCTTTATTTAAATACTTATTGATTCTATATCTTAGATATATCTTAGATATATCTTCTATATATCTTAGAATTAATCCCACTACATAGTGAAAAAGAATATATTATGTCCATGTATATTAGAATTATGTCTAATCAATAAAGAAAGAATCAAAAACGATTGTAGTGCTTATAAATGATCAAATAACAAAATGCATAACAAAATTTAGAAAGTTAACGCCTTAAACAAATTGAATTGAATATGAAGTATAAATTATGTAAAAATTAATTTATTTTTAGGACTTTAGGATAAACGTAGAGATGTTTCTTTGGAATTTGAGAAATTGGCCAATTTTTAGTTTCATAGATTGGAACTATGTTTCGAAAGTTCATATGGCACTTGTATATGGTAAAATATTTATAGTTTTATCTCCATATTGTGTATGTCATTGGTAAAGAAAATTATATGCACAAATTTATAAAGCATTGTGTTTTATTGAATAGGTAATTTAGGTAATGAAGCTTTAATTGTAACAACAGATAAAATAGTATATGCTCTAGGGTGTAATGCTTCTGGATGTCTTGGAATTGGGGATAGTCATAGTACTCTTTATCCAAAGAAAGTTGAGGCACTGTGTGGCAAAGATATAAAAACTTTTGCACATGGCAGAGGTCCATACGTCTTGGCTCTCACCGAGGAAGGAAAGGTATTTCAATTATTGGGGCATTAATTTATAGTTTAATGCTATGTTGTTCGCTAACATAATTTGTATAAAAGATATATTCATGGGGACATAATAATCACGGTGAACTAGGACACAATTCCACTAATCACACGATTCCAACGCCTGTGACAAGAAATTTAAATAATGAATTCATTGTTGATGTAGCTTGTGGAAGTCATCACTGTCTAGCGTTAACAAAGGAAGGAAAGGTAAGATAGAAACTTGAAATTTTATTTTAATAATAATCAGGAATTATATATGTTTATTTAGGTGTACGCATGGGGTGAAAACACATGGGGGCAAGTAGGTAACAGCGTTAATATAAATGAAAATACGCCTATGAAAGTGAACTTCAGGTTAGCTGGCAAAACAATAATTTGCATTAGTTGTGGTCAGTCATCGAGCATGACAGTTACAGACAGCGGAGAGGTTTATGGCTGGGGTTGCAACCAGGTTGGCCAATTAGGAATCGGGAACTATGTTAATCAAGTGAATCCTTGTAAAGTTACAACTCTTATTGGTATTGTAATTGGTAATATCAGTTTTTGCTCTCTTTAGAATGTTGAAAATTTTTTGAACAATGACAGAGACGTTCTTTGAACATTTATAGAAAAAATCGTTTGTGGTTATGCACATGTTTTGGCGTTGAGTAACAAAGGCGTGTTGTATGTTTGGGGTGGAAACAATTGTGGACAATTGGGGCTTGATGAAAGTCGTAAGACGAATATTTGCAGCCCGACACAGGTAAAGTACAATGAAGTTACGTTGATGAATGCGAATTAATAAATGTTTCATGCTCAGCTGGCAGTGAAAGAGATGGGAAGAGTATTGGATATAGCAAGTTCGCATTATAATCACATAAGCGTAGCCATGGGAGAAGGTAACCGAATATTTATGTGGGGTGAGTGTTTGGGACAAATTGTTAGAATTCCAATACTAATTACTGTAGCGTCTCTACATGATGTTTTTGCGCGTTACGCGTCACCGAGCATTATGCATCAGCCACTTGTTCTTTATGGTGAAGAACTGGACATGAGTTTAACAGATTGTTTTAGAAATGCATTTGACGATCAGGTACGTATTTATAAAGCAAAGAAATGTGTGTGTGTGTGTGTGTGTGTGTGTGTGT